CATGAAGAAGTTTTACTTTGTGGCAAGCCCCTCAAGCAGGTAGTGGTGCAGTCGTGACCAACCGTGACCCTTCTAAAAGCTACTCTAGCTGCTGTGTGTAGAATAAATTCTAGCAGAACAGAGTGAGGGGTCCAAGCAGAAGGAAAGAGGAAACGGTAGATTGGCCTTGGGTGGCCACCTTTGCCGCAGGGTACCTGGCTCAAATGTCAAATGGCCAGACATCTGGCAAGTGGCTTTAGTGGGAAGGTGTGACTTTCAGCCTTGTAACTGGGTAGCTAGGAAGCAGGGTCATCCCAAAGAACCTTGCAGCTTAAGAAGGAGAGAGGAGCTCCACAAGGAGAGCAACAGAACCAAAAAATCTTGAGCACAGGGGTCTTTCCTGAGACTGATTCTCCAACCAAGTAGTATGCATAGAGATAACCTAGAACCCCTGCACAGATGTAGCCCATGACAGTTCAGTATCCAAGTGGGTTCCCTAGTAATGAGAACAGGGACTGTCTCTGACATAAACTAATTGGTCTGCTCTTTGATCACCTCCCTCTGAGGGGGCAGCAGCCTTACCAGACCACAGAGGAAGACAATGCAGCCACTCCTGATGAGACCTGACAGTCTAGGATCGGAAGAAAGGAAAAGAAGCCCTCCCCTACCAGTGGACTTGGGGAGGGGCATGCATGGAGAAGTGGAAGAAAGGGAGAGATTGGGAGGGGAGGAGGGAGGGAACCACAGGGGGAATACAAAGTGAATAAAGTGTAATTAATAAAAATTAAAAATAAATAAATAAATATTTTTTTAAAAAAGAAAGAAGGAGAAAAAGAGGAGGAAGAAAAGGGGAAAGTTTAAAAAAAAGCTAAACTAAACTAAAACAATTCAAAATTTAAGAAATAGAAGAAGGAGAAGAAAAAGAGGAAGAGGAGGAAGAGAAGAGGGTGAAGAGGAGGAAGAGAATGAGAAGGAGGAAGAGGAGGAGAAGGAGGAGAAGAAAGATGGGGAAAGGGGAAGGGAGGGAGGAGAGATAAGATTCTGGAACAAAAACATGAAGTTTTTTTGTTTGTTTGTTTGCTCAAAGTAAAACAGATAAGACTTAAATTTTTAACAACCATTTAAAACCTACAGGCAAGCAGCAGACCAAAAAACCATCTATTCTAGATGATTTGTGAGAATTTTTTTTATGATATTTGTATTGATTATTTGGAAAAAAATCACATCAGGAACCCTGAGCACACTCACTTCCCAACATTCCCTCACCCTTGGGGCCTCTTTCAAAAAGAAGAAGAGGAGGAGGAGGAGGAGGAGCAATAAAAACCAAGTCCAGTTTGTGATGCCTGTATCCTCCCTGGAGCATAGTCAAACTCCTGGTAGCCAGTTCCTTAAAGAAAACTGAGTCCTTTCCCACCCGTACCCTGCCAGAAGCCATCACTAGTGGAAAGCTACACTTCAGACTTCTTATCACACTTTTTAAGACTTCTCTTCCGTGGCTTTCCATCTAGGTTGTTACTTTTGGAGGGTGGGGTGAGCGTAGGGCTTGTCACAGAAGCTTTCTGTCCATTTCCTCTTTCTCAGCTGGGATTCTGCAATAATCAATATCATGGCAAAAGTAGCTTCCTTGCCTTTTATAGTCATCGGGAGCACTGACTGGATTTGTGAGAATCTGGTAAGAAAGGCACGGATCTCCCGCCCTCATCTCAGCTCAGCAAAGTGGAGACTTCACCCAGACTGCTCAGCCAAAAACACAGAAACTCACTTTGTACGATGACAGCTGAAAGCCATGGAAGGGAAGAAGCCGGGACCCGGATCCCCTGCAACACAGTGCCGACAACGTTCTGTCTGGGGCCCAGCCAGTGCACTCATAAGATGGGCAATCAGACTGAGAGAATTATCTAATGTTGGATTTCGTAGAAAAAAAGATTTTAAAAATAGTTCACCTAATTGTTTCCAGAAGTAAAAGTGAAACGTGATTAAAGAAGAAAAGGAAGCTGGGTGTGGTAGACACCTTGGCACTACAGGAGAACTGTGGAGGCGGAGGCAGGAGGATCCTTTGTGTTTGGGAGTTTGAGGTTAACCTCAGCAATGCAGACCCTGTCTAAAGAAATAATATTCTGCCTTGAAAAGTAAGCACAAGGAAATCATTCAGTGGAAGGACTCAACAGTAGATCCGAGTGAGTAGAATAAAGAATAAGGAAGCTTGAAGCAAGCAGAAGGGCAGGATGGAACACATGAGGAGAAGAGGCGGAGAAACCGAGGCTATCAAGTGTGACAGTGATGTCAGGATGGGAGGGAGGACCAATGGGTATATTAAAAAATGCATAAACCTTCTGGAGCTCATTAAAAAAACAAACAAACAAAAAAAAAAACAAACCTTACATACCGGGAAACTCCAAGGAAAAGATTTACAAATAGACAAATAGTTGCAAAACAATGCTAAAAATCAACCGTGAGGAACAAACGCAGACAATAACAGCAGACAACTGGGGACTCACAGCCAAGTGGGGACCACGTGACTAGCAGCTGCTTCTGAGTGGAAACAGCTGAGATCAGAGATACAGTGCTCAGAGGGAAACTGATCAGACAAGAACCCTGCATTTGCCGAAAGCTGGCTTTCAAAAATAAAGACAAAACTTTCCAAGGTTAAAAAAAAAAGTACTGCATTTGTTGCCAGCTAGCCTACCGTATACAAAGTAGTGAAAGAGCTTTCTTCAGGCTGAGAGCAAACGATCCTGCATGATCATTCGAACGCACAAAGCAGCTCCACAGTGCAGGAATTATTACCTCTGTTTTACGTGCAGAAGGCCCTGGGTTCAAACCTCAGTAGAACAAGGTGCTGGAACAAGAGTCTTGGAGAGCTCAGTGGTTGAGCACCTGTGTAATCCATGAACAAACACACATACGCTCTATAACACCAGTAAAGATAATTTTGTAACTTTTGTGTGGATGTACATTTTTCTGATCTTCACGGGTATAGAGAGCAGTTGCATATGATAAATTATATATAATACAATGTTGGGGCCGTAACAGATGGAAATACACTTGTCAATAAAGAGCACAAAGGAATCGGATGGTTGCAAAGTGGTGTAGTGTCAGCCAGGATCACATCTGATAAGCAATCACAGCAATGTCTTGCTAGACTTGTGACTTTACCAACACACAAACTTGGGGGTAAAATAAAGAGAGAGGAGCAGCATCACTATAATCAAGATGATTAAAATCTGAAACTAATTCTGATGATAAGGTGTGTGTGTGTGTGTGTGTGTGTGTGTGTGTGTGTGTATGCATTTCTAGTGTGAGCCCTGGGTGGGAGGGAAACATTTTCTGGAAAGGATCTGAGAGATGGCTCAGTGGGTAAAATACATGAGGACCGTGGGCTTGCTAGGCAGCTAGGCTGTCCAGTCAGTGACCTCCAGGTTCAGTGAGAGACCAGCTCAAAAAGAAAGAAAGAGAGGAAGAAAGGTCTTAAATTACCATTTCTAGACAGTCACACACAGAACAAGAACAGAATCTAGAACAGCGGTTCTCAACCTTCCTCATGCTTCAACCCTTTAATACAGTTCCTCATGCTGTGATGGCCCCCAGGCACAGAGTTATTTTGTTTCTACTTCATGGACACCAACAAGGTAGCACAGACCACGGAAGGAGTTTTCATCCAGAAAATGAACCACTCTTCATCTCGAACATCCTGAGGCAGCGGCTGCTGCTGCTGCCGCCGCTCAGAGCTGGTGATCGGTGATCGAGGGTGGCGTGTCTCGGGGTAGGACTCATGTGAGCTCCAGGCTGCTTCACACCACCCTGCCCTCAGGACAAGCCACCTTGCCGGCACCTGTGCCACAACCGTTAGTGGCCTCAAGTGCTTTGGCAACTACGCATGTCCCCAAGCTAAGCATGCTGCCCTAGTAAACGCCCCATGCAGCTAAAGCACGAGATCTGGTGACAACTGGAGTTGCCAACCGCAGCCCCTGATACCAGCCGCCCAGTGGGCAAGGCTTTGCAGAGTGCTCAAGCCTTGGCCTCAACACCTTGAGGCAATGTCACAGAACCCCCTAGCCAAAGGTGGCCCAAAGGTGGTCTTAAGAATGAGCCTGATAACACTGCTGGGAACTAGCATAAATGGAAGCTCTGATCGTCGCCATCTTGGTTTACATCTTGCTTGTGTGCTTTATAATGGTTTCCTGTATCAGTGTGTAAGGGCAAAAGTAACTTGTACATGCATAAATATTACAATATACACTCAGCGTTATTTGCTGATGAGAGACATGACCTAAAAGGCTTAGTGACAATAAGACTACAATCCGTGTTACCTGTACCTGCTTGCATGGCCGTCAGCCCTTCCCTGTGTCCACCAACCCTCCCACAGAGAATGCTGAGAAAGGATGTTGGGAGCTATTAGAGATCCAGTGACCCTAAGTCCAATCCACCCCATGTGGGGGGGAAGGGGGGTTTGGGAGTCCCCGGCTTCTTGGGAGCAGATAGAGAGATGCTCTGTGAGGAAGGAGCCTTGAGAGGACCTTTCTCTAGTGCCCCAGCTGCATCTCACACCAGTCACACAAGTCTGAGTGAGCCCCTCCGAACTTCACGTTTCTTTTCCCCGAGTGAGTGAGATGCACCTCACAGCACTGTGGCGAAGATCACGTGAGATAAAGGAAGCCGGGGTTCTGAGGGATTGTGAAACCTCTTCCTTCATGGGCAGGCAAGGAGGTAAGGGAAGCCCCGTAAACATCGTAAACATCGTCAGCATCTAAGCCTAAAGGAGGTGTGACAGTCTGGGAAGCCCAGGCTGAGAGGCTGAGTCAGGCTTCCACTTAGCTGGACCAAAGGTTGCGCACGTGAAAGTGACCAAGGTCCCTTCTCTATTCCCTGTGCCTGCAGCTGGAGTAGGCAGATACTTTCGACCTCTCAAATCTCATCTTGGCTCTGGCCGTAGACAATGATGAGCCTCATTCCGCCTGCTTCCTGCATTTCCACCCTGCACTGGCACCCAGCCACTCACAGCAGCCATCAGCCATCCCTACCATCCTCAGACTCCTGCATCTGCGGGGGCGCTTCAATGGCCAGGGTGCTCTCACACTTCAATTCCTCCTGTGAGTTCCCACCAGAGCTTAGGGAAGATGATATGCACATAGAGGTAGGCATCCAGTCAGGATCTTCTCACCTCGAAGGCAACTGCTGACTCCGCCCCTTGCTTCCTCATCTCGGACCCAGGCTGCTTCATGCTCCTTGCCAGAAATAGGACAGGCCAGGGCTGCTTCGCCTGGGAGTCAGGGGCCTTGGGGTTTCTGGATCTAGCCGTGAAACATCTGGAAATACTTGAATAGTTAGAACTTACACACTCTTACACTCCCTGCCACCCCAAGCACCTTGATGCATATTCAACCCCAGGCCACCGCTCCCAGCTGGTCTCTCTAGGCTGCCCTCTCCTGGCGTTTCCTTGTACTTCTAGAGAACCCTGACTCTAGAAGCACCTTGTTGGTTAATCTCAGAGGAACCAGTTGAGCTCTTGCCCCCTGCAAAGCAAAGGGGAATTTGCTCCAGGGATTTTTGAAGATGAGTGAGGGGAGGGGAGGCAAGCTTGCCTTTGTCTAAATCTAGGGACACCTGTGAGTCCAAGGTGCCTGTCCCCTGCGGCTACTGCCCAAGCTGCAGAGAAAGCCTAGCTGCTTCTACAGGGCTAGGCTGTGCTTCCTACTCTTCCTCACAGATTCACAGTGAACACTTCTTCCCAAGTTGACGGCTTCTCATGCTTGGCCACAGGATTATCTACCCCGCTCTGGGTCTCCGACAGCCCAGCCCGGTCCCTACCACACAGACCTTGGGGCAAGCCAGGCCCAACTCAGCAGTGTCGAACACACCTGGATACTCAGTGTGCCCCAGTGGACTAAGCGACACCCCGTTTCTGACTGTCCCCAGGACGACAGCTGCAAAAAGAGCGTCGAGGGCACCCTAGAAGTCAGTGCTGAGCTTCAGGGCCCACTTGAAATCAAGTGAGAGTTCACCCTGGATCCCAGGAAGGGCTAAATGAAATGAGAGGCAGACAGTACTGCAGGGGCCAGCTCCACCTCACAAGGCAAGGCCATCTGTGGTTTCACCCCTAGGGTGACACATTTTCCTATGTGGGCACCCAAGCCGGGCAATCTGGGCCTGAATACTGCTGGGCTGTGGATAGGAGGTGCAGGATATCAGGGGAGAAGCGACAGTGGTGGAGTACCTACCTGTCATAAGTAAGGCCTGGATTCAATCCCCGGCCCTAGGAAATATGAGGAGGCTGTGGCACCATTTAATGGTGGGGCACATGATCAGCTTGCACCCGCTGGGCTCTCATTCCAAAGCCAATCCTAAACCTCCGGAAAGAACATGACTAGTCTAGCTCATACTGGGATGTGAGGTGTGAGAAATGGTTGGCAGACAGGAAAATTCTCATCGCCTATGTTATGTTGCTGTAGAGGCTAACAGGGAGTTTGGGTCAGACTCGAGCTCCCTCTGCCTGGACTCCACATAAAAAGTCATTGCCACCCATCTCCCATCATCCCTCTGTCCCTCCTCATCTGGAGGGAAATCCCAGACACTGGTTTCATGAGTTCTGACTGCTACAGCTGCTCCAGGTTTCAGAAAACTCAGGAAGGGAGACAAATGGGAGCCACAAAGGAGTCAAACTTGTGACAGGCAAAGAAGATGCTTAAAGGCAGGCCAGAGCCCTTACAGGCAGTAGGGAAAGTGTGGGAGTTGTGGCTTCCACGGTGTTGAGCAGGGGTCAACATGAGCCAAGCTAGGTTGCAGGCCCCTCACTCACACAGACATTTTAAGCTCCTCTGCCTAATTATGTATTTATTCTTGCTCTAACAAAGCCCCTAAAGATTGGGTGAACATGGTGACGATCGTCTGTCATCCTAACATTCCAGAGGCAGAAAACAGGAAGATCTTGAGTTTGAGAACACTCTGGCCTACGTACTGAGTTCCCAGGCCAGCCTGGACTACAGAGCAAATCCCTCGCTCAAAAATGTGAAAGCCAGGGCCGGAGAGATGGTTCAGCAGTTAAGAGCACTTGTTGCTCTTGAAGAAAACCTAGGTTTGGCTCCCAGCACTCACATGGTGGCTTTACCTTACCCCTAATTCCAGGGGATCTGATACCTTCTTTGGCCTCCTTGGGTACCACACACATGTGGTGCACATACATGAAGGTAACACACACACATTCATAAAATAAAAACAATCTTTAAAAAATATTTTAAATTAAAAATCCTCCAAATCACAGACGCCCCATGCTTCTGGATCAGCCTCACCTCCCTAAGAGGCCTTTCCTCTCCTCTGAGCAAAAACAATCATCTCTCCCCGTGGCGGTTAACATCAATTGCCAATCTGACACGATCTAGTATCATCCATGGAGCAAACACCTGCACATTGGGTTAACTGATATAGGTAGACCCTGAATGTGGCCCACACATTCCATGGAATGGGCTCCTAGACTGAATAAAGAGGAGAGGACAGGGCTGGGAGATGGCTCAGTGGGTAAAACGTTTGCTGTGTAAGCCTGAGGGCTTGAGCTCATATTCCCAGCGCCCAGGGAAAACAAGAAAGAGAGCAATAGAGGGAGGTACCAGAGGTTGACCTATGACACCAGCCTTTGTGTGCTTGTACACACACACACATAATACACACACACATACACACACACACACACACACACACACACTTGCCTTAAGCTGAGTGCCAACATTCACCACCCTTCCCTTGACGGTAAATGTAATGTGATCAGCCCCCTCACTTCCCTGCCACCGTGACTTCTCCACTAGGATGGGATATATTCTCTACCGATGAGCCAGATTAAAGGCTTCTTCCTCCCTTAAGTTCTTTGCTCAGCCATCACAGCAGCCCGGAAACCAGTGTACCCCCTAACCCCATAACCAGCACCCTCCTCTGCCTTGCAGTCTCATCCCACAAATCCTGCCTGGCATTCTCCTGTCATACCCAAAGTGGATGGGCCAAACATGATCCTGCTTCAAGACCTTGGTTCAGGGTGTCCTGTATGTTCGTCTCTTAACCTTTCATCCAGCTTCCCACTTGCCTTTCAAAGCCACAGCATATCCTGCATTCATCAGGAAGCCAGCACTCAGGCTCCAGAAAGGGTCAACAGTGCCACGTTCAGCAGGCCCCTGTCACTGCACAGATGCTGTACCTGAAAGGGCAGGTGTGGGAGCCATCTTGCCTTCTCTGGAGATGGATTTACCCATGTCTGTGTGCCCAAAGCCTGTCTCCCCAGCTCAGGACAGAGCCCTCCCAGGTGCAGGCAAACGTTTCTTGAAGGCATAAATTCATGAGCAGGGCTAATTCCAGAGACAGTCACTGAAAGGGAGAGAGTGCAGTCCTGGGATCACACCTGAGTGGCTTGCACCCTGTAGTTAGGCTCCCTATAAAATCTGCAATTTCTAGTGGGACCCTAAGGAACCATTCCTGTGCTCTGTGCGACCCCTAGGGGCTTAAATAATTTCTTCCCCCAAGAAATTAAAGGCAACAAACCAACAAAGCCCCTTCTCTGGGATTCCTCCTAGTTAGCTTTAACTGTCAGCCTGACACCATCTGGAGTCAGGCTGAGGAGAGGGTCTGCAGAGTGAGTTCCAGAACAGCCAAGGCTACACAGAGAAACCCGGTCTCATAAAACCGAGAGAGGGAGAGAGAGACTCAATTGAAAGACTGCCCAGATCAGACTGGCTTTGGAGCACATCTGTAGGGCACTGTCTTGATGGTTGATAGTTGTAAGGTCCAGGCTACTGTGGGCAGCATGATTCCCTGGGCCGGTGGTCCTAGGCTATCTAACTAAGCATTAGCCAGAGGGTGAACCAGCAAGCAGCAATCTCCTGTGGTCTCTGCTCCAAGTACCTGATTCTTGAGCTCCTGCCCTGACTTCCCTCTGTGACAGACTGTAACCTTTAAGATGGAGTAAATCATTCCTTCTCCTAAGACGCTTTCGTTGTTTAATCACAGCAACAGAAACTGGGGAACTAGAACAGAGTCTGACACACTCAGAAGCCTGAATTGCATAGCTTCTAAAATCCCATGGTCTGGATGCAGCAATGAAAATGTATCCATCTTACCCGGGGCCCCTGATGACCCCCTATTCTGGGTCTTGTTCCCCAGGCAGAGAATGGTTTCCATACTTGCCCATTGGCTCTTGGAGAAGAAAGGGGAAAGCCATCCATGATTCCTAAGTTTGACATTCCTGCCTGTGGCTTCTAAGGTCAGTGTGGCAGCCTCCAGCCCCAGCGCCTCCAACGCCCTGGGCGTGTTCTAGGGCTAGGCTGAACTTAGGGATCCAGTCCTGTAGGGGGCCACCACAGCTGTTTCCCTGGGGGCTTGGTGCTTGCTCCCTGCTCCTGTGTTACCAAAAAGCCACCAGAGACTCTACCAGCAGCCTCACTCTGTGCCATACACTTCAACCATCGCTCCAGCCATGCTGTCTCTGGTCAGAACAAGACATTGGGCTAGATTTGATCCGGACGGCTCACTTTCCTACTTGAAGGCAATGTTTCCCATCCCCCCTCAGAGCTGACCTCCTATGGGTGCTTCCTGACTCCCATAACACACACCTAGTCATTTTCCTCTGTTCCCCCTGGCTCTTGAAGGAACCTGAGTCAGACCATCACTGTAAAAAAAAAAAAACAAAAAAAAACCAAAAAAAAAAAAAACAAAACGCCATCTACATCCTTTCCCACCATGTCACAAGAGAAAACATTTCTGTGATCTGTGCACCCTCTAGTGGCAGATCTGGTTCTTTTCCCAAGGAGAAGCGTTCTCAGACGCCTAAGGTGGTACACAGCTCCTGTAATTGCTCTTCGGGTGAGTCCTCCTCGGTTGTGTTTATTCAGCTGTTATACACTGTTGTTTTTCCAAATCGACCGCGAAAGGAAGGACCAAGAGTCACTACATATGGGTCTCTCCGGTGGAGGAAACAAAGGGAGGGTCTCTTCCAGAGAAGCTGACACACCACTCTAAGGCATAAGTTGAGGAGAGAATGCTACAAGGAACCCAGATTTGGGGATACCATGGAGAGGGCTCCCTGGGGGCATAGATAATGCCATTGCTCACGTACATGTGGTGACAGTTCGGCACCCAGATGCAGGGCTGCTGTGATGGGAGGCAATTGCTCCAGGGTCAGAGCTCTGTAGCTCAGCTGCGACAGACACTTTGCAAGGAAATGAT